TCACTCCTGTAATTGTCCAGTGGAACCTTCTCCAGGCTTGACGGAGCATGCCGGTCTGCTGTGGATACTTCTGGCAGGTGCCATTAGATCTGATGGACCATGGGCCAAGTAGCCAAGCTGCTTGCATTGTAGCTTGGGCCAGCTGAAGGGACTTCTCTTGCTTTCAGCCCTATTAAGCTAGTAGCCTCTTGGGTCTCCCACTTAACGGGTCAGAGAAGTACATTCAAATACTATACAAGTGTCCTCCACAAGCCAAAAAAGCCCACCAAGTATTATGCTTTTTTCTTCTTGGTAGGGGGCATAAGATACCACAACTTACCTCTGGAGAGGTTGTTTTGTTAAAGATTTTTTATTTATTCATGAGAGACAGAGAGAGAGAGAGAGAGGCAGAGGGAGAAGCAGGCTCCCAAGGAGCAGGGAGCCTGATGCGGGACTCGATCCCAGGACCCTGGGATCATGACCTGAGCCGAAGGCAGACGCTTAACCATCTGAGCCACCCAGACGCCCCCTTTGGAGAGGTTTTAACAGCATGCCTTGGATTAAGGGACCACCCTCTCCCAAGAAACTTCACAGAAATTACTGACTACTGTATTTTCATGGGATATATATTTAGGATGATATCTATCTATTTTTTAATTTATCCACTCTTCTCTAGCCACTGACATGTTCATAGAATCTCAGTGACCTTGGTGTGAGAACAGAACACACTGCTAATCTGCTAATAGATCTTAATATTGGGCACTTTCTTTTTTTTTGCACTGCTAGTATCTCTTCCTTCAAACTTCCTCATTCTCTCTGCCACTTCTCCTGTTTCCCCAGTGGCTGTGTTCATGACTTTACCAAATCAACCACTTATTCCCTCACTAAGAATGTCTGGAGTGCCCACTGTGTGCCAGGCACTTGAGAATCCCTGGATATTCGGTGACGAGCATAGACGTGGCACCTGCCTACGTTTCACAATTAGCAAACCAATATCCGGAATTCAGAAAGTGGAAAGGGGTGTCCAAGGTTAGTAACTCTTGCACACCATCCTTCTCCACCTCTTTCCACTTTAGTGGAATGAGCAGCTTGAGCATGCTGCAGTGGAAATGAGGTGGAAAAAAAAAAACAAAGCAAAGTGCTAACGTCTTCAGCACATGGAGAATGACCAAGCACTTGGCAGATGACAACAGATGACAGAGCCGGATGGCATAAGCCTCAAAGAAGTAGGGAAGTTTTTTTGGGGGGGATGTCTTTTTTTGTTTTGTTTTGTTTTGTTTTTTATGACAGGGGTTGGGAGAGAATTATCTGGAAGTGGCATTGGGGAAGCAGAAGCCACCTCCTGATCCTATAGAATGAGCAGCTTGAGCATGCTACAGGGGAAGCCGTGTGGTCAGGAAATGAAATTACATGCAGCAGGTGTCAAAAAGGCAAGAGGACAGGAAAACATTCTGCCAGGAGGCTAGTCTTTGAATATGGGATAGGGGTTCCTAATAGCGTAGCATTCAAAGTGTAAAAGACCCAGTAGGTTTCTCTATACTCAAAACCAGATTGGGGTGCCGGCTGGCTCAGTCGGTAGAGTGTGCAACTCTTGATCTCAGTGTTGTGACTTTGAGCCCTATGTTGGATGTAGAGACTACTCTAAAATAAAATCTTTTTCTTTAAACAATTTTATTTGTTTGAGCGAGAGAGAGAGCATGAGCAGGGGGAGGGGCACAGGGAGAGGTAGAGGCAGACTCCCTGCTGAGCCCGGAGCCCAATGCGGTACTTGATCCCAGGACACTAGGATCATGACCTGAGCCAAAGGCAGATGCTCAACCGACTGAGCCACCCAGGAGTCCCAAAAATAAAATCGTAAAAAAAACCCACAAAAATCAGATCTTCCACTTGGGAGGAACAAGGGTCTGCTGAGAACTTGTATCCCTGAAGCTGTCCCCCATGATTCACCTTCCCTATTGTACCAGCATCATGCTGGATTTAGCGGGTGCTGTATCCCCTTTCCAGTCTTGCCAGAGGGTAGCCTCATAACTCTTAATTTTCCCATAACACACCTGAGACCAGGTTGGAATCAATTCATTTCTCTTGCCCTTCCTTCTCTCCTTCCTTCCGTTTCCCTCTCCCCTAATTTTTTTCCCCTTTAAATCATCCATTCATTCAGTGTGACTTTCAAAGCCCAGAAGGAAATAGTTAAAGTAACTTGCACCAAGATGTTGTTGCTTATAAAGAACTGTTACTCATCATTAACTCTGGAATTCTCTATAGGGAGGCTGACCTACATAGTTCTTTTAGGATCTGTACCTACTTCTTCTAACCCTTCCGAGAACTTCTGGAGACCTCAGTGTGCCCCAAGAGAGCAAGTCCAAAGAAAGATAGATGCTCCTCATCCCCTTCTGTAAGACCTGCCTTTCAAGGTCCAGTGTTCAGTCTGTAGCCCTGGATTTTCCCCTAAATAATTGACAGCAGGGATGCCCAGTTGTTTTAAGGGAAACTTACCCCCCACCCCAGGACAACCATACCTAAATCTGAAACTTAACCGTATCAGAATTCTAAACCTCATATCCATACCCACACATAGAAACTGAAGATCAAGTTATTATATAGAAAATGACACGTCATATTGAGACCATTTATTCCAACTAATCATTAGTAAGGGCTTTTTATAGTGTACATGGCGTATTCTTGGCTATAATTTCGTTCTATAGAATAATTTGCCAACTGTATTCCCAGTGTCTGCAAAATTAAATACAAAGGGCTAGAAAACAAGGCATTTTCTACAGAGTAAGATATGCTTCTGCCTAATGTACAAGCATTTCATCATTGAGTGTTCAACTACAAAAGCGTGTCTTTATAAATTAAGCTAATGGTAGATTAAATAAGAGGGAGGATAAAAGTAATGCAGACTTGGTGCTGAGTAAATGAAAGCTTTCAGTCTAATAACAGCCTTAATTACATTTCTTTTAAGGCACTGCACCTCTGCCTAAATTCACATATGTCAAGATAAATCACAAAACAATAACGAACTACCCCTCAATTTTTTTAAAAAAAAAAGCAGCAACTTAAATGAACTGCATTGTTTGAAGCCTGCCAAAGATAGTGGGAGATTTTTCTTATTGTCAGCGGCTGTGTAATACAGTAGTCCTTGAGAAAATATTGCTAAGTCACTTGAGAATCTCTCTACTAAGAATTCTGAAGAGGGGGCGCCTGGATGGCCCAGTCGGTTAAGCATCCGATTCTTGATTTTGCCTCAGGTCATGATCTCAGGGTCATGAGATCGAGCCCCATGTCAAGGGAGTCTCCTGGGGATTCTCTTCCTCTCCCTCTGCCTCTCTCCCCTCTCTCTCATGCACTCTCTCTCTAAAGTAAACAAATCTTTAAAAAAAAGAATTCTGGAGTGCCTGGGTGGCTCAGTCGGTGAAGCATCTGCCTTCAGCTCAGGTCATGATCCCAGGGTCCTGGGATCGAGCCCCGCGTCAGGCTCCCTGCTCAGTGGGGAGCCTGCTTCTCCTTCTCCCTCTGCTGCTCCCCCTGCTTGTGTTCCCTCTGTCAAATAAATAGATAAAATCTTAAAAAAAAAAAAAAAGAATTCTGAGGAGAAGCAGGGAAGCAAACGAAAGGGAAAGAAAAAAGAGGTGAAGTACTTTCTTCACACACCCACAACAAATGGTGCTTGCGGTATTGGGTCACTGAACTGAGCTGTGATTTCGGCAGTAAGGGTGATGAAGGTATACAAGAGGTGGGAAGAGTGCCAGGTGCCCTACTGACCCCCCACAAAGATCTTTGGGGGTCAGATGAGCTTAGTTAAGGATCATGTCAATGCTCAAGATCATTGACAGCTTAAAAAACTGAGGCACGTGCCAGCCCACATACAGCACTGATCACTTTCCCTCTCCAATAAGATTAATCAATTCCAGTATAACAGATATTAAGTGACATCTGTCATTTGCCAGGCAGTGTGATTGTTAGATACTTAGAGGAAACACGACCCTCAAGAAGACTTGAATTGAGTGGGAGACATACCAACCAATCCAGTCGGCACATTGTGAAAACAGAAATACTCATAATGGCAGTATGCCAACAGCTCAATGGAATTATAAGAGGATTGCCTAAGAGGGGTGGAGAACAAGAGGCCAGTGGCAGGGAAGGCTTCACATATATATGATTTTTAAACTGATTCTTGAAGGAGAAATAGGAGGTCGCTAGGCAGAAAAGGGTAGAAGACATTCCAGGTAGAAAAAATAACATGTAAAGGCACGAAATACAAAAGAGTATGGCCTTGCCCTTGCCTCATGATTCAATCAGGAAGCAAACGGCACACTTGAAGGATTTAACTGAAAGTTTGATGAGGTGGGAAGTGAGCATTTCTGGAAATGTGGGCAAGGTGAAGGGAGGGCATCAACAAAGGCTGGTGAGGCATTCGGAGTTAGCAATGGTAAGAAGCCATTCACCACCTGGCCAAAAGAGACAGGAGAGAGAATGGGACACCCGAACCCAGTGGAACCCATTAGAAAGGCGCTACCCAACAGGAACCGTGACCAGAAACAGGAACACAGCTGCTCCTCAGCCACGGTCGGGCTGAGACAGAGAAGGGTAGATACCCGACCTCTTTCCTCTGGTCCCCAGCTGGTGCTTCCATGCGCTGGACCTCCCGGCAACTGGGCAACCTCTGCCCTTCACCAAAACTTTCTATATTCCTATTTTTAATCCCAGTAATGTAATAATTACTCTATCAGATACTTGAAAATAAAAACAAATCCTCATAAGTGCGAGATGACATACGACGGAAGTCCTTTAGTCTATCTAAGAGTAACTACACTTTAATGTTATGTCGGTGGATGAAACCGGCTCGCCGGTTAGTTTCAGAATATTTTTGTCCCCTTAAGACACTTCGTATTTGATTTATAAATTCGGGTTAAGTCACATCAGGTTAGCTTCACATTTTATTATGGTGCTGCATTGCTTGAAAGAGGAGAGAAGCAGGACAATGTGTCCTTTGATTACCTGTTTTTCTACTTATTTTTCAGATCAATAACTCGATCTTATTATCGCAACTCAGTTGGTGGGTTTTTAGTGTTTGACATCACCAACCGACGCTCTTTCGAACATGTGAAAGATTGGCTGGAAGAGGCAAAAATGCACGTGCAGCCGTTTCGGATTGTGTTTCTGCTGGTGGGACACAAGTGTGACTTGGCTTCACAGCGACAGGTGACTAGGGAAGAAGCCGAAAACCTGTCCGCAGATTGTGGTATGAAGTATATAGAAACCTCCGCAAAAGATGCCACAAACGTCGAGGAGTCCTTTACAATCTTGACAAGAGACATTTATGAACTTATTAAAAGGGGGGACATTTGTATTCAAGATGGCTGGGAAGGGGTTAAGAGTGGTTTTGTTCCAAATACTGTGCATTCTTCCGAAGAGGCAGTGAAGCCCAGAAAAGAGTGCTTCTGCTGACTTCAGACAGGCCAAAGAACTAACGGGAACAGACTGGGTGTCATCTCAGGATAAATACCAACATGGACGGCAGAATGATGCAACGCAAACATTGGAGAAAGAGTTACAAGCCTGCGCTAACGCTGTTTTGTAAGGTATTTAATTCAGAGCACTATGCTTACTTGCTACACTACCAGATGGGGTATTTTGCTAAATTATCAGGCAAAGCAGACAACTTTTTCTTGAAACTCGAGTGTCTACAGAATTATTCCCTTTCTCACTTTGTTAGAGTACAGCTGACCTTCATGTCCACGTATATCAATATGACTCATTTTTCTTGACAGTTTAAAATGGGTTTTTTGTGCCTGTGTAGTCTGACTGAAAAGATTTTATCAGGCATTATATTCTCATGAGTTAATTTGTTAATACTGAATAGTAAAGTGGTTTTAAAAGTGCACTGTTCGCTTACAAAGTAAACAATCTCAGACATATCATCACCTAGGACTAAAATAACAATTCCTTGTATAAGGTACCACGTTTTTAACCATTCTTTGAAATATTTATCCTCCCTTAATTTACCTGAACATAAGAAAATAAGTTTTATACTCATTTTTGTTCTCCGATTTATTGCTTTTGATAATTTTATGTTTTGTGAAGATATCTAAGGATCCAAGCAAAATATTTTATTGCAAATATTTATAAAAACAAAAATGAAGGACGATTCATCAGCAAATATTTTGATGTTATACTATATTGTCCTTATTTAGACAAGAAAAACAAATTTATTTATATACAGGCATTTTCAAAGAAAGTAAATGCAATTTACCCTGAACTATTGTCAAAATTATTGATATAGGTAAATATGGCATGTTCTTAGTGATCGCTTTGTTGTCCACGTAAGTTCTTGAATTTCACTGTTTCTGGTACAAGAAAATTATAGGAAAGATTTCTGGACAAGGACGATTGGTTAGATGTTTCATATAATTAGCATTCAAATTGTATTTCAGTAAAATTAAAGATAGAATAATGAGTTAGGGCTATAAAATGACTTCTGAGTTTTCTAATTTTTAACTTATTGATTAAATTCTCTTCCTGGAAGGGACATTTTGATCACAAACTCAAATATTTTATAACCTGCATTTCTGTTCTGTTAACAATCCCTAATCACAAAGGGGCACCAAATGCAGCCCCCTTTTTGAAATCATGACTTTTACTGTTAAAATAGTAGCTCTATTTGTTTGAAAACCAAACTGATATGGTAGAAAGAACATTTAATGAGAAATCAGAAAGGCTGGGTCCTAAGCTTGCCTTTGCTGTACCAGTATTTGAGCATGAGTGAGTCACTTAACCTCGCTAAGCATCCGTGCTCTTAACTGTAAAATGAGGCTAATAACACCATTTATTGTGCTTCATGGAATTATTTTGAGAATCAAGTGGATCATGTGAAAAAGCTTCGTAAATAGAGAAAGCATTATGCAAATACGAGTGTGGTATCAGCTGCTCATGGGCATACTATTATATTTACAGCGGATGAGAATTTTGTTTTCTCATATTCCTTCCCCTCATCCCCACATTCTGCAGAGGGAGCAAAAGAAGGTGCATACTTTCGTGGACCTGGGGGGTCATGTATGCCCTCTGCCCTCTTGCTCTGAAACACCACTCCTCCAAGGTGGGAATGATAGGGAGGGAAATCCCAGGAGACTTAATTCAGTCAGAAGTCCTGTTTGAATGTGGTTTTTGTGCATCTTTGAAGTAGATATTTAATTATATTTTAAATACTTGTACATTTTCTAGGTTCATGGAAGTATTTTTAATAGTGCTTACGGAGAGAAGAATATAAATTATAACATCACTGTAGGATTGTGAGTAGTTCTATTGTCAACATTTTCTTGATATCCTTGTATTAATTTCACTCAAGTGAGTTCAAACTGTAATTGATCAGATGAGAATAGCTGACCCCCCAAATGTGAAGTCATCTATTTTTACTGCTACAATTTTAAATCTTGTATTACAGTTTTCCATCGGTCCAAAATGGCACCAACTCAGAAACTAAGTATCTAACAACAATTTAAAGTACGGTCCCCTGGGCCTAATTGTAAAGTTAAACAGCTAAACTATAAAATATGATTTAAGTTTCAGTGGACACCCTTTATAATACTAACATTGGGGTAAAACTAATATTTGCCCTAGAGGGTATGGTGTGTTCCAAGATTTAGAATAGAACTAAAGAGTCAGATGAAAACAAATGGAAAAGCAGGACCCCCCAAAAGTTGATACTTCACCAAGGTCACACAAAAGCAGAAGCAAGCCTAGAACTCTGCCTAGTCAGGGTTCTTTCCATTACTCTGCTGTGTCAGGGGTGTGTGTGTGTGTGTGTGTGTGTGTGTGTGCGTGTGCGCGCGTATGTGCGCGTGTGTGGTAAAGCAAAGGGAAAATATGATCTAGCTGAATCCACAAAATACTAAAACTGGGCCATAGCATTTTGAGGTTATAGAAGAGTTGTTTGTGGTGCAACAATACTAAAATGAACAATAACTACAAAGATCTGAGTTCTTATGCAAGATTGCCAAACATCTATATAACCTTAGCCAGATATTTTTATCCATATATATACATATATATATATAAAATAACTAACCTATTTTCTTACACATAATTAGGGAGAATATGGATAATGGATAATGATGCCAAAATAGTAAAAATACTTGCTCCAAGCAAAACATTTTGACTAAGTGTCTTACAAGTCAGATATTCTTGAATCAGATATAATTGAAATTATTTAATTTAAAATTTACTTAAATTTAAACCTATTTAAATTTAAAATCAAAATGAATGGATGATGTAGCTAATTACTAAATATTTTAAATAAACATGATAAAGAAGAAATGAAAAACTATCTGATCATATAATACACTTGTCCCTGACAAACACTTCTCATCTTGAGCTGCATTAACGCTTTCAGAGCATGTGGTAAATGTGATGGTTCATTAAATGGTAAGCTTAAGCCAAAATGATTTTGTAAACAGGATGCTTTTAAATGTGGCCTTTATATGCATAATAGTAGCCATCGAGATTTCTTTGAAAGTTTATACTAGGTTTCCAAAAGCCTCCAAGTCCTCCATGATTTTTTTTTAGTGGCAACCAAAGCAGCCTTTATTATTGTTAAGGTAATTTTACCAATCTATTTATCCAACTTTACAGTATTCAAAAACTGAATCTATGGATTAATAAAATCCTTTTAAGAGTGCTTTTGATTTTATATTGCCTTTGGTTCAATCAAGTACAAAGCTTCCACTGACTTTAAAGAGTGCAGTGTATTTGAATAATTTCCTTAGGTCTGACAGAGTGATAAGGATTTGAAAGACTAAAGACCCACTTCGGAAGCTAATTCATGTGTTAGCCCATAACTGCCTGGAGAGATTCAGTTGGAAATGCAAAGGAAACATGTAATCTTTAAGGAAAAAAAAAAAAGAAGAAGAAGAAAGAAAGAATATAAAGGCTTTAAAGTTAGATCCTTTGTATTTTAAAATAGAATACATTCCCAACAAGAAGCTAGCTCTTGTAAATTCCACAGCTGATAGATAGCCATCTCTGCTTCAGAATCTTTCTAAATCTCCATGTTTTCACTAAACTTTCCTGAGTGACCAGTCTTCTTCACCTGATCTTAAAATAACTAACAAACTTTTCTCCTGAACTTGGATGAACTGCTACATGACTTGGTATTGCTATAATCCTAATCACTGATGAAAGTAGACACGTGAGTGTTGAGCTGTGACAATCTATAGCAATCATTACAGACTCTGATTCGCTTCCTATACATCATCATGGCATAGAATAAATGAAGAGAAAGGAAAAATTTTAAAGATTATATTTTAAATTAGTGCTCCTTATTGTTACATCTGTCTGGAAAATTTCTTTGTCTTTTTTTAAATAGTGCCTAAAACATTGTCTTATCGATGTGCTCTTCGGTGACTAGTAATTAATGATTATTATGTTGAATTAATCCTATTAAATGTGGATTCCATATATAGGGTTTTAATTTCTACATTCCATGGAGAAACAAACATGTTTTGCTACAGTCATCTCTTGCCAGTTTCTTTTCGAGTGACAGCCAATGGAAGAAAGACATGGTATACATTTTTTGAAGTACGTTATTCGTGTTATTTGATTTTAAATAATGAATAAAAAGAATGAGAATGAGAACTGTGGTTGTCACAAGATTGTTACATTATCCATCTTTACTGGTGCTTTCAAAACAGAAGCAAGGGTTTCTTGCAATTAAATGTATCCGTGTGTGTGTGTATTTACAAATGAAATGCAAATAAGAATCAGATCTGAAATCCCATATATGTTACATAATACCCTGGTGGAGTGTGGGGCAGAACCCCATAATCAAACATTTATATATGTACAGCAAAATGTATGAATATTTACACTAAAAAATGTCTATAAATAACCTGTCATCAATTGAGGTCAGTTTTTTTTTTTTTTTTTTGTCTGCCAAATGAGTTATCAAGAGAATTATAGATTTTCAGAGCCTTTTGGGTTTCAGAATTATGAAAAAGGATCATGGTCTTTTATTATGCCTTAACAGATAATTCAGAATTTGTGACTTTTCTCTAGTTAGTTCTTTGTCATACTTCAGCCTTGCACATAGCAAGGGCTCATTACATTTTGAATTGAGTTGTTCAGTCACACAGAAAAAGATTTCATAGCTTCTGCACAGATAACCAGTTACACATGTAAAATACTCACAACACTTAGCACAGAGTAAGTACTCAATAAATGTCATCTTTTGTTTTTGTTTTTAGTAGTATTCTTACAACCACCGAATTGCCAACAAGCCAGTTTTAATCCCCATGATGCGCCAGAAACTAATTGCTGATAATTGCAATCTTATAGATCATTGCAAAGGGTCATGACTCTCTGAAATGGTCTGATCCTTGGAATGAGGGGAGGACGCTTTAGCAGGACAAACAGAAGATGATACTGTTCTTGGACATGGCTGGCGTTCCCCGACAGCATCTGACCAAAGGGACAGGTGCTCAAATGAGTGAAGCCATCCTGTCTCCACCTCTGAGCTAGAAACGGTCATCACCAGAAGAGTTAGTGAGTGTGTACGGTGTGGTAAGGACCCTGGGCCAAAGGACTGGGCTTCTTAGTTATGTATAAAATGATTATCGGTAGCACTGGTTTTTAAAAGATTTTTTGGAAGTAGCTTCATTGACATAGAATCCACGTACCGTACAATTCACCCATTTAAGATGTATCATTAGATGGTTTTTCAGATTTCACATACTCCAAAATGTGCAACCATCACCACAGTTTTAGAGCATTTTTGTTGCCTCGAAAAGAAATCCCCACACCCTTCAGCTATCACTCCCAACACCCCTCCCACTTCACACCACCTGAGTCTTAAACAACCACTGAATCTACTCTGTGTCTCTATTTGCCTGTACCGGACGTTTGATATAAATGGAATCAAATGATATGTGGTCTTTTGTGACTGGCTTCCTTCAGTTGGCATGTTTTTAAGGTAGTACCGTTATTTTTTTTTATTTTTATAGTAAGCTCTATGCCCAATGTGGGACTTGAACCCGCGACCCTGAGATCAAGAATTGAATGCTCTACCAACTGAGCCAGCCGGACACCCAGTACCGTTATTTTACTAAAAGAATCCCCACTATGTAAAAAATATTAGCTCTTTGTACAAAATTTGGAAAATATAGAAAAATAGAAAGAAGGGGACGCCTAGGTGGCTCAGTCGGTTAAACGTCCGACTCTTGGTTTCAGCTCAGGTCCTGATCTCAGGGTTGTGGGATCGAGCCCCATGTCAAGCTCCGTGCTCAGTGAAGAGT